ACTCCGACAACAACATCAGAAAACCCTTCTACAAACGGATCGAAGCGCCGCGAGATGGTTTCTTGAAAATCATCCCCACGACGGGAGCCCACTTCTTCAACTGCTTCTACTTTGGCGGTGTGGAGTATGCGGCAAACTATCGCTTCGAAACCGGTAATCGGCTCGACAGCTATGAGGACAAGGTGAGCATCGCACTGAACAGGATCCTACGACACAATGTGGGGAAAGCCTCAGAATCACAAAGCTTGTTTTGTGACGATGCTGGCTGGGTACCCATTGAGGACGTACTCAAGTGTGAGTCAATCTGGAGACATGAACACCAACGTTGGCCGCATGTCTTCCTCGCCCCCAAAGGGAGAGCAAACGATCGAAATGCATGGAACGTGAAAGAGGCGAGCAACCGCATGGCGTTGCTGTTCAAGATCATGTTCCACTGTGCCCGATATGGACGTCGTGTACGTGAACAAATCTTGGCGTTCGGGATCAACAAGGACATTGATCGCAGCAGCCTGACATGCATTGACAACAACGTCAACGCGGACACGCCTATTCCTGACGAGGGGCTATTGCTCTATCCAGTTGCAGTTCGCGCTCCAACAGGGCACAAGGAGGGATCCTCCAGAGACGACGTCTTGTTGATGTCCTCCTTGCTCTCGCATCCGATTGCGCCCAATACCATCATGTCAATGCCGGTTTGCTTCCACATCACGAAGAAGACCAACCTTCGAAGCATTTGGAGGGAAGGACTGATTCCTGGAGGTCTTGGGGAAGGTCATCGTATGTTCACGTTCTTCAATCCATACGTGCCGTGGGATCATCGCTCATGGACTATCACGAAGAGCGTTGACACACGAAAAGGGGACTACATCTGCCTCTACATCCCGACCGAGACCCTGATGGTGGAGTACGGTGGTCGATTGACGGATTCGGGACAGATCGTTACGCCAAAGATCATCCCGTTCTCAGCGATCAGAGGAGGATGGATTCAAGATCCAAAGGATCAAAACAACAAGACATGGCTCCGGTTGTTCGTTCCGTCGGGCGACGACCAGGTAGTCCGGTCAGGCACTATCAAGTCAAGAACTGTCGCCACCAAGGAGTCCATTCTGAGGATCGCAAGTCATGCATCGACGCCGAAAAGCAACCGTATGACGAGATCACCATGGATGCAATGAACATCGTCCACCAGTTCAGGAACAATCTAATTGAAGAGGGTGGACAAGAACAATACCTCGCCCGCATCAAGCTGGTCGACTACATCGTCGAGCGCAAGAGGGTGGAAACTTCAGGTTGCCGTCATTGCCCTCATTGCCTCAATGAGACGCCAACGAAATTGGCAGTATGTCTAGGATGCTGGACAGAGCTTGAGAGCTGTGGAATTCGACCTTATAGATTACAAGCCCCTGAAGACGATGAAGACGAAGCCACCAAGAAAGAGATCGACGAGGAGGTTCGCCGACAGGAAGAATCGTTGTTCGAGGATACGGTCCACCAAGCACAGGAAAACGTACCTGAATCCAACGATTATGGCTTCAATCCTGACGAAGTCGACTACAACGAAGGCGATGACGAGGAAATGGCTCAGGAGGAAGAGACTCAGCAGGAAGACGACGAGATCGTTGAGGAGGACGACGATGATGACATGAACGTCGAACCTGAGAAAGAGCCTTCAGACGACCTGCCAGTATGGACCAAGAATCTCGTGCCTGGAAGCAAGGGTTTGCCAGGAGATGGACTAGTAAACAATGATGTCTCCGAGGCCGCGGCTCACTTGTACGACAATGCCGTGATGTCAAAGATCATCGCAATGTCAGACACTACTACAACCAGAGAGTCACTTTGACCCCAGAGGAATACTATGCGTTGATGACGACCACCAAGCGAGTCCGACTGGACCTGGACGACTTCTGCCCCTACACGGGCGAAGATCAGGACGGCAAACTCAAGCGGCCGACTGAGCAGGAATTGGACGCACTCTTTCAGGAGAAAGGGAAGACGAACTCATGGTCAGAGGGAGAATTGATGTACTCTGGGCGGCCGAGAAACATGATGATGCCTGTCATCAAAACTCTAGAAGTTTACGAAAAGATGATGGAGTTTCTCATATGTGCCGGGTACACTCCCGATTCCTTAGGTTTCCTCATGCCAATGACGAAGATGCAGGGAGATGCAAAGGAGAAGCAGGAGATGAGGGTGACCATTAGCAACTTCCTCCGACGATTGATGAAGGGAACATTTCCCGAATATGAGTCATACACCTTCTTTCGTTCCGGGAGCCACGGCTTCCCCAACTGCATTGAACTCCCAGCTTTCTCGGTATATCTGAGTCTGAGAGAAAGGGAACAAAGGGTGGAACTACTCTTCGCTGCCCAACAATGCGGTATTCCATTACCTCGCAACTTCATCGGCAAGATGGCTTACGCCATTCAATTCGCTGAGTCCGAGGCGATGAGGGGAAAGTCCGAAATGAAAATAAAGATGGCTCCGAACCTGGGGGACGAAGTGGTAGGTGAAGTATTCAAAGCAGTCGGGGACAGTGCCAGCACCAAGCGTGCTGCTGCGGACGCGAAAGCCAGATCATCAACACAGCCTTCACAGAAACCTGAAGATACTGGTTCAGCGTCATCATCGGCCAGTGCACCAAAGGCTAAGGCCATGCCGAAGTCTTATGGACCACCTAAAGCACCACCTGCGAAACCAGCATCGCCGAAAGCTGCTCCGAAACGTGCGGCAGGTTGGGAGAAATCTCAAACGACACCTCAGTGGAAGAAAGTCCGCCGTGAGGAGTAAATCAACAACCTCTGTCCATCCAAGTGATCACTGGACTATAAGATGTCTATCGTCTTTGTGAACAGATGATCAGGAAAAGACCAGTTGAGAGGACTCTGAGCGAGGCAGTAGACTAATTCGCTTAGGTTCCATGTTCTCACTATTCCCAATCTGCACGATTTTCTTTTTAGCAATGTGCACGTGAATTCACTAGTTAGCGTCAATTGCTATTCTTGGTGGAGCAGTCAACTTCCGTCGTCGATGGGGTGACTTGCGAAGCCGTAATCGTAGAGTAGCTGCAAGCTAGTGATAATTTGCGTTGTACAGCTCGAACTTGCGCTGACGCATTGCATGCCATAGAGTAGGCAACCCCGGATCCACTACGCTCGTCGGGTGTGGGTGAAGGGGGAGCTGAATGGTTTGCGTGTACAAAGGCGTAATTCGTGCACCACAAACAATATAATTCAAAGTTCCCACTCTCGTGCCTGCGGTGCGAAGCCACCGTAGGCATGGGGGGCGCTAAAGGGAACTAAACGGTACTGCACACATGTATAAGCATGTGGAGTAGGCCTGACATGACGCCAAATATCTGGCTCAAGTCGCAAGGGAAAACGGTGTTTGCGCTGCTCAGCAATGCTGCCTGGACTCCGGCTACTGGGACGTTAGGGACTCCAGCAACTACAACCAGATATCCGGGAACAAGGATTAAAATTGTTCACATGAAATATGATGTTATATAATGTTATGTATATGTATATGTATATGTATGTGTATGTGTATGTGTATGTGTATGTGTATGTGTATGTGTCTGTGTCTGTGTATGTGTATGTGTATATGTATGTGTATGTGTCTGTGTATGTGTATATGTGTGTATATGCATATATATATACACATACATAAGTAGCCCAGATAGCATCGCAAAATATCGATGAATGTTGCCTTGATGATTTCCAAGGCTTCAGCCCTGGTTCTCGCGGATGTTTCGGCTGCCGTGGCATTGCTCGCGGCACCTACCGGGTCCAGGTTGGTGGCAGGCACGGGGAGGTGGAAACCAATCTGGATATCCGCACCACAGATATCAATGCTGATTTTAGTACTGGACCCATCTTCACTACCCATAGTTACAGCGTCGAGGGTTACCCTCGATTCTCGATTGTCTACAATTCATTGATCTGAGTTCTGGATACAGTGATGCAGACCTTCGTTTTTTTTCCCACCTGAAACCCCATGAATCACAAATGTCTGGTATTGAATCGCAATCTTCCAGCACCACTTGTGCTGTGTGAAGCTGCGCGAGTCAGGGCTAGCGTTTCGCTCCCTGGGGTTCTGCACTTTGCTGTTGGTCGCCCTTGGCATGACGCCAGCAGCTTAGAAAACTGGTGAGAGCTGATGAAAACCCATGAGTTCTTGGGCCGAAAATAGATCTTGAGTCTCTAGGGCTTACCAGGTTACTGTAAGCCGTAAGATGTTTGGGTCATGCCTTCCTGAGATTCTGAGCCACCCTTCCAAGCGGCAGCTGGCCTAAGGCAAGGCTTGGGTGCGGTGCCCGGACCTTTGTGCGTGGTGCCTTGGTGATGCTTCGGTGCTTCACTGGTGCTTCACTGGGCCACTGGGATGCTGTCAGACAGAGGGGATCTGGCCGTCTCTGCTCCAGTGAGGTCCTAATCTGTGCCCGCGAGATCTTTTGGTTTGGATGGTTCTACAAGGCCCTTTTCCGGACCCAGGGTATCCCAGGGTTACCACTTGAGTTGCGCAGGTATTGGTTGAGGGGGTCCTGCTATCACTTGAGATTTTCAGATGGCAATGGAAGATCCCGCCAAGTTTGGCGGATCGCATAGGATGCAAAGATTGACAGATGAAGGAACATGAAAGAATGCACACGTGGATAAATCAATGGACAGAGTCCAAATCAAGAGATATCTCAAAATATCCCAAGAATAGTATCAGTGCCTGCTTCCATCGGCTAGACGAGGAGATACTGTCAGATAAGTGTCTCCGGGCAGCTCACTAGAACGCAAATGAACGCCTCCCGCCAACTATAGTTGGAGGCTCCTACCAAAATCCCACGAAAATTCCATTTCCATGTCTTCGAACTAGGATATCATGGGATTAAATACCCCCTAACTAGAACACAGTCCTTATTCTGAGAAAATACTTATAACATCTTATAACATATTACATCTATAAAAACAGGTTATAACCCGTACAATTTCCCAGCCAAGATCTCCCAGGTGGATGCCATTTGGGGTGCCTTGTGCTTCACCGCGGTGCTTGCCTGGCGCTTGGCGTTGGCCAATGAGTCAACCAGTGAGGTCGTTTGGGCCAGCAGTTGATGGGGGAGTTGAGCACCGAAAATGGGGGTTCATCAAATTTCGGCCCTAGCGGTGATCAAAGGTGGCTAGGAAATCCCATGAAATCCCTTACAAATGGAGTTTTTTTTTTTTGGCTGGGAAAGGCATCGATTTTTTGTCCCAGAAATGATGGATTTTCCATTGCCGTGTTTGTTCATCAGCAAAAACAAGGCAGCAACAAGATCCAACAAGCTTCAGTTTAATATTCACCCTTTTTGAACATGGATTATAATCATTCTTCCCATGTTTTTTTTCCACATATATGATTATAACTTATAATTATGATCAGGGATAATTATGATTATTCTCTGCACACACACACATATATATATAATCCGGGTAAATTATAACGACCTCACTACGACCTCACTGGAAATCATGGTTAATAAGGGAAATCATCCCAAAATGGTCTTAATTCAGGTTAGTGAAATATTATAATTTACCTAGATATAATGTATATAACCTCTATGTTAAGTACCATAATTTTCCCACTATTATTGTGAGGTCACCAGCTGCAGGTGTTAGCGCCTGAGCTGCCAGTGTCTTGGCTGCGGGACCAGCGTCATCAAACATGGCTGGGAATCCCCATGAAATCCCCCAAAACTCAGCATTGAAATATAGGAACACCATCTATAAATTTCTAGAACACGTGGAATTTGATTGCAATGTTTGAGTAGCAGAAGGTAGGGGGTCGAAATGTGGAAATGATTGACTCCCAAACATGGATGGCGCCTCATACATCATCCCCAAATACTTCACCAATGTTCACCACAAGACTGCTTCATGGTGGTAAAGGCAACTCAAACAACTCAAGCAACTCATAGCACTGATCAGTGGATTTTAGGGCAGCTTTATTTTCAGACGAAGCCGCCAAGAAATGCTAGCCAGCGGGGCTCCTGGAGGTCTTCGAGAGTTGGGAAGACATGCCAAAAGTCCCCACCCTCTTCGACGTGCGGCCTGTGGGGCCGCCGGTGCCGCTGTCCTTCGCCTGTTGGATCAGCTTGTCCGTGACAGCGCTCAGCGGGTGACGTGGGAAACGGCTAGCAGCTATGTCTTACAACTTTTATTAAGTATAACACAGAGAGAGAGAGAGATATATATATACACATGTACACATACATATATCATACATGTGTGTATACTGTACATATACGTATCTCCGTGTGTGTGTGTGCAGGTATGAGATGAACCACAGTGAACTGGCAATCTGATGCTGGGCCAACTATTTTGCTTCCATCATCTTTGCGCATAGAGATACCACCCACCACTTACCATTGAGAAGCCCCCCCCTTTCCAACAGTACACACCGTTAAGGAGGTTTGGCTTTAGCTCTGCGTGTTCTAAAAGTAACTTCATTTCAGATTGTCAGACCAATATGAAAACATAGGGAGGTGCACAAAGTCCTTCCAGATTAGTTTTTGTGTACTGATCCCATTTGATCCCATTACCATTAAGTGCTAATGATGTTTGATGGTAAAATCCCCAATCTTTCTTGCTGTCTTGAGGATAGCTCGCATCCCTGTCGCCTGTTTCGGCTCCAAAAGATCTCAGAGATTTCGCTCCGTGCCATCGCTCGCCGTGCCGACCTTGTGTCGTGAGCGTGAAACCATGCTGGCACTCGAGGTCAGCAGCTGTTGATCAGGTTTTTGGGATTGAACCCCAACAGGTAACAGTACTGATTCAAGAAAACAGGGAAAGCGCACGGAGATAGTCTATCAGATTTTATCATCTGGATTCCGAGGATGGCCGCATGCAATCAACTATCCGCAGCTGGGTTTTGCCCAATTTGATGCAAACAAAATTTGGAACCTTCACATTTCCATCATCTGAAGATTCTTAGGCAGTTGGATTCTTTGAAAAGACCTGCAGGGTTTCTGCTGCTTTCATGTTTGATTTGCTGTTCCCCTGGGCTCAAGTGATAGACCGATCCTCTCCGCTACGGCCCGCTTTTCGACACGACGACCCCGGTATGGCGCGGCGCTATGACTCAAGGACCACCACTTTCTCTCCTGAGGGACGCCTCTACCAGGCCTTTTTTTGCCGGGGATTGGTGGGTTGGAAATCGGTGGCCCCACCAAAGCCATGAGTTCAGATATCGAGTCGTTTTGATGCAGCTTTCTAAAGTCCAAAGCTCAAAACCGAATGAAAAACACACATGTGCCTCATCATCATGTATATATATATATATACATATACATGTATATATATATATACATGTATATATATATATATACACATGATAAATAATGATAATATATTTATAATGATTTTATATGATTTTAGATGTATGTATATATGGTTTATATTCTTATTCAACTCAAGTCTCGCCCGAAAATGCCAGGTGGAGTACGCCATGGAGGCCATCAACTTAGCCGGATCCACGGTGGGCATCTTGGCGGAGGATGGCGTGATCCTGGCGGGAGAGAAGAAGACCACTTCCAAGCTGCTGGATCAGGCAAGATTTTCATCTGGATTTCCATGGATTTTCGCTATGGGCTATCCATGGCTATCCATGGCTATCCATAGTTCCCATTGGCATGTCATGGCATATCATGGCATCCATTGGCCTGACCTTTTTTTTTTGGGGCCATGGGAGCTATGATGGACTATGGACTATGGATTTGGAGCAGGATCTGGGATGAGTCAACTGATGGTGAACAGAATGATATATGTAATGATTGGAATATATCTGAGATATACCTAATGATCTAATCAACTCATGATTAAAGAATGATGGGGCTGATATGATGATTATCCTCTGGTAATTTGTGTCATAGCTATGCGATAACATGTGGAAATCACTAAGTGTTCATCGATGAATCATCGAAGGGGTTGATCCCCACGGATGGGCTATCCATGGAGAGATGGCTATGGCTATTTTCTGGCGGGATGAATGGGGGTTAGTTATGGTAGCACCAGCCATAGCTGTTTATTTTTCTAAGTGATCCCACCCGAAAACTGGGAACGACTCAACGACGAAATATGGCTACATGATTGTGCATCGCTCGTTTCACCAGTGGAGAATGACCACTGAAACTGGAGATTTGACCATCAACCAATCAGCAACAATCATGGGATGAGACAAAATTAGGAGTACACTCCCGGAAACAAACGTAGACCCCCGAAAACTGAGAAACGAGAAACCGGGGTCTACGTTTATTTGTAAAGAAACGACTTTTGCAAGAGCAAAAAAAGACCACTTCCGCTCACTAAGATAGACATTGGGACATAGAGCTGAAGGCAGGGTGAATTTGCCCTAACATAGACCTTGGAAGCAGAGTGATTCTGAGGTCTATGTATTCAGGTAAGTTTTACACTTGCAAAACAACTGACTCATATTTTTCAGAGGGGTAGGTCAACCACCAACCAGTTATAGCTGTCACTGCTAGGGTGTAGTACCCCTCCACCCAGACGGATTCACAGATTCAGATCGGTTCAGATGGCAGGCAAAGCAGCACGAGAAGCTCTTCCAATTGGATGATGCCATGTGCCTTGGACATCGGACCGTGTCCCTGTTGGGCATAGCAGGCCGAATTTAGATATTTTAGGGCAATGCCTCCGAGATGCCCAGGAAAAAACAATGTATAAACAGCATATTTAAGACCATTTAAGTAGTAGACAGCAGTAACTAATTGAGCTATCTATGATCTATAAGCCCATTTTTTGGCCTGGCCAGGTTCTGTGCCGTAGCGGGCATCACTTCGGATGCCAACATCCTCATCAACCGACTTCGGCTCACGGCCCAGCAGCACGCCTACAGCTTCTCGGAACCGATGCCCGTGGAGCAGCTGGTTACATCCATCTGTGACTACAAGCGGCTCGGCCATGGCACGGAGTTTTGTCGGGTGCATTTTGGATCAATGATGATTTGAAAATGACAGTTGATGGATAATTTTTTTAGGATTTGATAGTGACAGTTGGTACTACTATATAATGACAGTCTTGAAAAAATGGAACCCGTTGATGATTTGGAAACACCGATTATCACCGATTCCCTTTTGAACATCACATGATGTTCCCGGGATAAAATCACCACCCAGGCAGGGCTATACGCAGTTCGGAGGCCTTCGGCCTTTCGGAGTCTCCTTCCTGGTGGCTGGCTGCTGGGCAGACTGGTTTGCGGCTGGAAAGGGCAAAAAAAGTGCCCCCCATGTCACTGAGATTTCACAAACATCAAGGATCATCCAAGTACATGAGAAGATGCCAACATATGCTAATACTATGCATGTAGGTTTTGCCCCGTATCGCACCGCAAGCCCGCAGTGGCCTGAGGCTATGATGTGCACCATGGCTTTCAGCTCTATCACACGGACCCCTCTGGCAACTTCAGCGGATGGAAGGCGGATGGTTTTGACACATCATCATCAGCAGAATGTCGAGTCTTCCCGCCCCCGATTCTGAACCAAAATTGGTATTGTAACCTGTTCATACGTATAATTAGGAACAGTCGGAGCTACCAATTTCAGGCATGACCTGTTGATCGTCCAAAGGTGCGCCATATCATTTCCGGCCAGGGCTATGCCATTGGAGTGAACAACAACACGGCTATGCAGATCATGCGTCAAGACTGGAAGCCAGGTGTGGGGGCCCAGGATGGCAAGGGGCGAGCTCCGGCTGCCGGAAACCCGTGTGTAAAATGGGTCAAGCATTCCCTGATTTGAAAGATTTTGTGGGCGTTCCGTATAGCAACCCCCAAAATCATCGAAAAGTGAAATCTGACTCAAAAGTATAGTGGTAAATTATTATACTACTAAATATCTATCTATTCTAATTCTATTCTATTCTAATTCTAATTCTATTTCTATTCTATTCTATTCTAATCTAATCTATCTATCTAATTAATCTATCTAGTCTATCTAATCTATCTAATCTATCTAGTCTATCTAATCTATCTAATCTATCTAATCTGCCCAACCTACCGAATCTATCTAATCTATCTAAGCTATCCAATCTATCTAATGTATCTAATGTATCTAATGTATCTAATGTATCTAATCTATCTATCTACCTATCTACCTATCTACCTATCTACCTATCTACCTATCTATCTAATCTATCTAAGCTATCCAATCTATCTAATGTATCTAATGTATCTAATGTATCTAATCTATCTAATCTATCTAATCTATCTACCTATCTACCTATCTACCTATCTACCTAATCTATCTAATCTATCTAAGCTATCCAATCTATCTAATGTGTGAGTTTGACCTGTCTAATGTATATTTTGTATAGCCAAGTGATCACATGCCCCCGTTGACATTTGGCTTTAGGGCCCTTGAGTCATACCGCGCTGCCGTGGTAAAAGTTGGGCATTTGACGATCCCGTTTCCAATTCATATTGGTAGCGGAGCGGGTGACGACCCGCATCCGGTGGTACGTCAGTGACCCAGGGAACCCTTTGTGAATTTGAGTCTGGTAACTTTGGGAATCAACTGAACTTCGAGTGTGTCGTGGTTCGTGAATCTGTCTGACCCTGACCAGGGCAGACACTTGTTAACGTTTTTCCTTGTTCGACTCCGAACGGAGCGAGCATCATGTCGATCAATGGCCTTCGTTTCAATCAGGAGCGCCATTCGTCGGCACCACTTGAGACGAAGAGTGGCTCATACATCTATGCAGGTGATGCGGCGAACTTTCATGATTGGCAGTTCAGGACTCTCCTTCGGATTCGTCTTTATGAGCAACAATTGGAGGAGGAGACAAGTAAGCCTGCGGATCCCGTTGGGACCACAGCAACAGAGCCTGCCGCAGAAGATGCAGATGAGTATGCTACTTTTCCAGATTTGTCGGGTGCTACTCAAGCAGCCCAGCCTACATCAGCAGTCTCGACTCCGAAGTCTGGAGCGAGCCGAAAATCCTCGAGGTCCGGCAAGCAGAAGACAGACATTGATCGTGGACCATTGGTTAACAAGGTGATTGAAGGACTGAGAGGAGATGCTTTCTCAATAGCTAGGGATCTTGGACTTGAAGTGTTGTCCAAACCTGGTGGCCTTGTGAAACTTGTGGGTGAGATCAAATCCCATGTGTTTCCAAGAGCCCGTGAGGAAGCCAAGGAATTATTTCGAGCAGGACAGAAGCAAGGTGGTCCTTTGTCTCGCCAACCAGGCGAACCCATGCTTTCCTATGTTCAGAGGAGACGACGTTGGTGGCACATGCTATGCGAGTTGGATGACACAATGGTGTTTTCAGACAGCTTGAGGACAGAGTTGATGTTAGAGTTGAGTGGGCTCAATCGACAGGAGATCCTCGTTGTGAAGGCCTGTGCAGACACTAAGGATTCTGAAGGTGTTGGCAAGGTGCTGATCGAGAACTACAGTGGCACTCACTTGCGAGAAGGGTCACGATCCTGGACAGGACGTGGTAATCCTCAACAGCATGGCAAGTCGTCAGGCAAAGGTTATGGCAAAGGCAAACCTTCTTCGAAGGGATCGTATTCCCAAGCAGCCTATGCAGCCTACCCCGATGATGGGGAGGAACATGCAGAATCTTGGGATGAAGCTGTGGATCAATCCTGGGAGGATGATTCATATGTTGGCATGCTTGGTGACATTGCAGAAGAGGAGCCAGGAAACCTAGAAGGTGACAACGAATTTGATTACTTTGACGACGTCGATGAGTACGAAGCAGTTGCATTGAACAGCTTGCTTGAAGTTGAAGGTGCAGAAGACGATCGACAAGCAGGAGACGCCATCCAGCTACAACTTGCTGCTTTCACCGCAATGGGGAAAGCAGGTGGCAAGGGCAAATCCTTCGGGAAGCCCAAAGGAAAGGGGAAAGGAAAAATCGTGAAGTCCAACCTCACGATCGATCAGAGAAGACGGAAGCTCACAGAGCTGAAGTCGAAGAGCAAATGTTTGAGATGCGGAGTCATAGGGCACTGGGCCGGTGACCCGGAATGTAAATTCCCGGGGTCGAAAGCCGGAGCCCCTGGAAAGTCAGCCCCAAAGCCCGCAGCTCACTTTGCCGACATGAGCGATTCTTCAGATGACGATGGTGTGACTTTGACAGCTTCACCTGATCGTGACAGAGATGGAGTTGCTATGATGGCAGTTCGACAAGCGAAGCCCAGCAGTCGACCTTCACGTGCAGCAGCATCCAGCAGCAACGTTGGCTTGATTTCCCGGGATCTCGATGTTACAATGAGACCCGAGGACCATGGGTGCATCTTTCCTGTTGGACAGTTCAAGGGTTTGTCTTTTTGGAATGTGTTGTTTGAACAGACAGGGTACTATCATCATGCCAAGAAACATACCCCCAAGAGTCCATACTATGTCACATGGTTGAATTGGGTTGACAAATACTTTGTGGTTGGTGCTGATGGGATTCACTTGCGCGAAGTCCCTGTTGAGCATGTCGAGCACCGAGATTTGTTGGTGGCTCGGGGAACTGGCAGAAAGAAACCCCCAAATCCTCCTTTGCCGAACAAGTGTCAGGAATGTCGTGAGTTTACAAAACAAGGTTCTACGGGGTACACCATCAGGAAGACCTGTCTTGTGTGCGGTCATTCCGAAACAACAAGGCGTGACATGGTACCGTTGATGTCCCCTGAGAATTGCCCTCATGATGACACCGATTTTAGGGGATCCAGCAAATCAACACACCGTACCTTCTGCAAGAAGTGTTGCACTTTCATTGATGAAGCTCCTATGCAGATTCGCAAGGAGCGTATTGCCATTGCCAAGAAGGTTGAAACAGCATCAGTTCGAACAGTCCCCATTGTTGAATCATTGGTTGAAGAATCGGATGGATTGAATCCAGTCCAGTTGGAAGAATTGTTGCCCCTGTTTGCCACTCTTGTTACCGAAACCTGTCAATCTGAGGTCATGACCCGTGCACGTCTACATGAACTACTCCATCAAGCCATCAATGACGTGACAGAGGAAGAGGACAGTTTTTCTCTTGTCAATGAAGATGGGCACGGCGACCCCTCGGGCAGGGAGTTAGCTGGGTACGTTGGCATTTGTTTGCATGGAAGTGACATTCAATACCCTCAAGACTTGGTTTACATGAACTTTGAAACTGTTGACATTGCCAGGTCATCCCATGTCTTTGCAGTGTTGGATGAAGGTTGCAACAGCACTTGTCATAGCAAAGCCTGGGCAGTCGATGCAGAAGCACGACTGGCCCGTTTGGGTTACAGCATGCCATTGAAGGATGACGGTTGTAAGAGTTTTGCTGGTCTGGGAAGTGGTAGTACCAAGACCGAAGGTGTGAGATCTATTCCTTTTTCGCTGCTGCTTCCAGACGGGAACATGAATGGGGAGTTGGATTCATATCAATTGTCAACAGGCAACAGCCCATTGCTTCTTTCATTGCATGCGCAAACCAAGTTAGGCCTAGTGAAGGACCTAGCAAAAGGGGTGATTTCCATCAAAGATCAACCATTGAATATCAAGAGATGTTCCAAATCAGGTTTACTTGTGATGAACTTGACTGAAGGATTGACCAACATCATCAACACACCACCAAATGAGCTTCCCAAAATTCCAAAGTGTCATAGAAAGTATAACTTGGCGTACACTGCATCGACAAGTGACTGCGCCATGGCCGATCACGATCAGACTGGTTTTCATTCAAGGGACTATGACGTCTTGCAATCGAAACTGAATGAAGAACAGCTTAGCAATAGACAGGTGATCATTGTGACTCGAGGTCGACGATTCCAACGACATGCCATGAGGTCCAATCGTGCCACCCTTTCCATCAACTGTGAAGACATTTACGATCCTGATCAGGACGTAAGTCTCAGAGCTCATGTGGGTTGGCACCATAGGATCCTCGAGACGTTGAGCAAGGTGGACAAGTTCAACGAGCATCTCAATAGCATCTTGGAGTTCGTCACCCAGCATCAGCAGGAAAGGATCTTGGTGGACCTGGAGTGCAAATCAGGCCGCCATAGATCGGTTGGTCAGGGCTTCGCAGCTTTCAGGTGCTTGAAGGCCTTGGGATACGACGTTGTCTTGATCCATTCGTCGTCTTGGATGTGGGGTGAAATGCGTTGTGGAGGAGTTTGCAACGACTGCAAGAATGTTGGGGCCAATGTGGGACAGATCAGGCATCTGATCCCGAGGACACAGGCCGTGACGATGAGGCCTCGTGGCAGTGTAGCTGCCAGCCGTGCAGGCGTTGATGATGCTCCAGCCGATGGCGCTTCAGTGGAACATCCTACAACAGGTCAGCTCGAAGAGATCAGACGACTTGTGCAGGGTCTTGCATCTGACGTTGGGGGCCTGGCATCTGATGTGGGACATCTTCGCTCTGAGCAGAGGAAGATAGTTGCTGAAAGGAGATCCAGGAGCTCATTG